CCCCATCCTCAAAGCTTATTAGCTAATGTAAGCATTGGCTAATAATACCAGTGTCCAGATGTGAAAGATCACTTCTGACTCACTGCAATTTATCAAATGTTTCCATCAGATATTCCTTCTCTAGGAGGCACGATAATTACCTAAGAGTTAGAGACCCTTCATGAAGATGGGAACCTTGAGAACAAGTCCTTAATTCACCTATCTGAAATCTCCTAATGGGTCCAAAGCTCAGACCAGGGGCATTTTACTGCATTTGAGTGATGGTTGAATTTAGAACATGTTGGCTGAGATGATCAATATAAGGGCTCCTTTAAATTAGGCTCAGAATGAATCAAGAAAACCCAAACCATGATGTTCTCTTCTTACATAGTATTTATTATGGTGATAACACAGACTGGAAAATGAACTCAGAAAATTGCACTTGGCGTTTGGGACCCATCGATAGCTAAGTTAAGTATTCCTACAGTCTGTTTTGGGTTTTATTTGAAAAATCATTAAGTTTCATGGTAGCCATCTCCCCTTACATTTTAGATATCACAACCTATCTTCTTTACAGAAATAGTTATAAAATCTCCCCTTTAATTTTTTTTTTAATTTCCATTTAAAAATGTTTTTTTCAGCTCTTCTGTAATTGATGAGCCCATCATTAGAAGCAAGTAGAGGCATTTTTAAAAATTTTTTATTTATTTATTTCAGAGAGATGGGAAGGGCAGAGGGAGAGGGAGAAGCAGACTCCCCCCTGAGCCGGGAACCCAATGCGGGGCTTGATCCCAGGACCCCAGGATCATGACCTGAGCCAAAGACAGATGCTTAACTGTCTGAGCTACCCAGGCATCCCGAGGCACTATTTAAAGGAGAGAATGATGACAGACTCAGAGTTCCTAAATACTGCCAACCTGAAAAACTTACGAATTTTAATGGATGAAAGTATATTCTCCAGTGAGAGATGCCACACAGGGACACAGGGTATGACTCACTGAACTCATTTCTTCTCTTCATATCTACAAGGGTGTTACTGCTTTCCCACGGGCCAAGCTACATATCTAGAGTTTTAATGTCCATAGTGGGCACTGGCCAGTGTGACTACTGAGCATATGAGACATGGCTACTCTGAAATGAGATGTGCTCTAAGTTTAAAATACACCTGGATTTCCAAGTCATAACATGAAAAAAAAAGAAGGTAAAAAATATAATCTTTATATTGACTATATGTTAAAAGGATAATATCTGTGGGATATTGTGTGAAATGTTATTAAAATTAATTTCACCTGTTTCACTTTTGCTTTTTTACTCGCTTTTAATCTGGCAACTAGACTTTTCTTTACATATTTTTAATTATATATAGCTTGCATTTTATTTCTAGTGGAGGGCACAAATCTAGAGGTTCCTCAAAACAATCCCCTATAGGATCAGCCCATAGATGTACTAATGCATGTGGTCATTCAGCTGTATGAGTAATTGATTATGTCATGTTACATGGTGATTACGTGACGTTGTATAAGACTCTGCTTTCCAGATTAGAGGGATGTACGTTCCTGCTGCTTTTGAACAAGAAAGCTGTCCTCTTGTTAGGGGACCATATGGCTAGGAGGTGAGTGCAGGATAGAGAAGGGGAATGCACAGGTTTCTTATTTGACCATGATGCTCACAGATAAGTCTTTTCTAGTCCAGAAACTGGGATACTCTTATACACACTGTTCCAGCTGTTTTCATCCATATTGCTTACAGCTAAAACTCAGCACTGATAAACAAAAATGCCAACAGACATGAGAGAAACCTGAATGATCACTGGCTACCCTCTCACTCATAGAAAGCTGCAGGTGATACAGGGAAGAAACAACAACAACAACAACAATAAAACAAAAACAAAGCAAAACAGTTGTGATATCTATTCAGTGATTCATCCTACCTCTCCTTCTTATGGAAGTATATCTCCTTGGCAGAGATTGCTATTTCCCTTAATGTATATTTCCCCTTTCTTCCATGGAAATATAATTGTTTGTTGTATATTTGATTGCCTAGACTGAAAATTATATTTCAAAGTCTCACAACCAGGTAGGAATACTTGGCTGGAATTTGGTCAGTGGTACTGAGCAGAAATGCATGTGATGTTTCCTGCTGGGCTTCTCCCTGCTTCTTTTAACCCCCCTGTATCCTATTAGCTGGGATTTGGACGGCACCTTGGACCATGAGGGGGAGGGCCTGACCGCAGGGCTGACAGGGTGAGTCTTGAGGAAATTTTTATCCCTGAGACAGAGCTGCCATCCTAGTCCTGTACTGTCTGACTCCTACCTTCTTTATGAGAGAGAAACCCATTTCCATTTGGTGGAAACTCTTCTTGGGTTTGGATTTTTGTCACCTAGTCTTTATCACCTAATTCTAAATAGTATATCTCAAATTCTCTTTAGAAGGTTTCAGGCTTTTCTAATTAATTTTTTTTGATTGTTTAATGTTTTACTACTCCAAATATACTAAAATATAATTTCCTTAAAATGTTAAGTTTAAAAAAAAATACCGTTATTGTTCCCATTATTGTTCCCTAGACACAATCTGTTCTGGTTGAGGTATACAGATTGGATATATACATCCTTCATGGAAATGTCTTCTTAAAACTTACTTCCAGCTACTATAGCTCATCATTTCAGAAAGCTAAAAAGTAATTGGACAAGAACTAAATTGAACATGAACTAAAGGATTACTCCATAAAAATGAAGGTATATCTAGTTTAAGCAAAACCACAGGGTCACCAGCTGGGAGGAGGAAAGAGGGGACAATAGAGGTGAATGCTCTTCGCTTCTGGGTATGAGGGAGGTGGGTGTCTGAGAGTGATTGATTGGTCTCTCACGGAAAACAAGCCCAGAGAACCACACAACCAAGATGCCACCGGAGAGCCTTTCTCTTCTAAAACATCATAGGACATGAGAATCTGTGAGAACAGGAAGCTAAAAGGCTCTCTCTGCAATTATCTCAGAGTGACGTGTTTGGAGGTGGAGGATGAAGAAGGATGCCTCCCCGCCCCCGCAGCCTGGGTGGGGAGCCCTGTCTGCTAGGAGGTGAGAGCCCCTGGGTGTTTGATACCAAGTCAGGTTATAAGTGGGGCCAGGATCCCGACAGATTGTTTTGAGCTTAAGATGAGATTCAGGGCAAAAAAAGAAAAAGTTATGGATTAAGAAATAAGATAAGAATCAAATAATATCTTACACACATATTTCCTTTATGTGACTCCAAAATATCAATTTAAAATGGATGCACATTTCCTAGTTTTGCCTATTTGGGGATTTTAAAATAATGACATATGTTTCTGGTATAGAAAAGCAAGGAAAACATTAAAGAATAAAAGCATTTTTCCCCCTTAGGGGAAAAATTTTCCCTTGGGGGGAAAATAATACTGGTGAATTAGTCCTCATTTATTTCTGGGAGCATTACACATTACCATCACCTGGTAGGAACATGACTTTTGCTGTAGTTCCTTTGGAAGCCAGGTACTGTCACTTTAGTATTAGACAAAGCGGTCTAGTAACAAAGAGCAGAAGGGCATAGCATTCCTGTTTCCTTGACCAGAGATTGGTGCATCTCCAAGAAGCATAGGAAGAAGCCTCCTACAGCCAGAACACAGACGCAGTCTGTCCTCAGGTGCATGAAGATGCCACAATGGTGCATTTCCCACAGTTTATAAAACCTCAAGTAGTTATAGGTAAGGGGAACAATAGAGCAAATCTTGCAATGTAGTCTTTCTTAGATAAAGTTAGCAATGTATTCGGTAACTACTTGATTTCATAGGATGTATCTGACACTGTTTAAAATTTATAAAATATGAATCTTTTCACCTTAAAAAAGGCTATAAGGAGACATAAAATATTCCTATATATAAAATTTCCCTTTTTACTCCATGGTCGACTTTGTGCTTTTTTCCCCCTTCCTTTAAAAGTACCAGTTTGGGTGGCTCAGTCATTAAGCTTCTGCCTCGGCTCAGATCATGACACCAGGGACCTGGGATCGAGCCCCGCATCGGGCTCCCAGCTCGGTGGGAGGCCTGCATCTCCCTCTCCCACTCCCCCTGCTTGTGTTCCCTCTCTCACTATGTCTCTCTGTTAAATAAATAAAATCTTAAAAAATAAATAAAAAATAAATAAATAAAAAAATAAAAGTACCAGTTTGCATAAATTATTTTATGGCCAAAATGCAAAAACCAAAACCAAAACCAAACCCTCGTTTTTCTTTGGATTTTTATTAATTTTCCATATTAAAACAGCCAAAACAGTCTTCTGCTGGTTTCACTGTGGTTTGTATAATTCTGGTAGGACTGTTCATATACTTCCTGGAAGTGACAAATCAATATTTTGACATTTTTGAAGAAGATGATGATGATGCACTCTTTTGTTCTGCTATGTCAGAGATTAGTTTAAGACAATTTATCAGTGAAATATTAACTCAGGATTGTGCTAATAAACTTCCTTTATCACTGGTGTCATCAAAACCCAAGAATTAACCTCACTGCCATTAAAGGTGAGCATTTTTAGATTCGCAGGGGCGTGCATAAAACTTGCCAAAGGATCTGGTTACATAACCGATTTTCATAATGTGCAAACTGTGTGTGTATATATATAGATGAGCACCAAGTTATACTAAGTAAGTGTGTGTGCATGAATTTGAATGATTAGGTTTGCTCCCATAGTTTCTGAAGTTTAAAAACCACTAATATCCTTGGAAATGTTTGCTTGCTAACCAATTCAAAGAAATATTTCTTTTCTACCCACATCACTAGGAAAACATGCATCCTTATCTGCTTTGTTCTGCTTTGTCTGTACACCACATACACGATGCTGCTTTGCAGTTGTCTCATTGGGTATTCACAAAACGTGCTAACTGTGACGGAAGACGGAACGAGGGTGAGGACACCAGAAATGTGGACTTAGATTATAATTGGCTGAAAGGATGGACCTCATGAGAAGCGTTTTATCACGATAAAATAAAATAAAATAAAATTTCTTCCACCTTACCGCGGCAGATGGGCCGATGGTCGCTCCACGCAGCCAGGGTCTCTGTGACTCTCTGACAGGTTACGCTCTTGGATCCCTGGAGCACATAACTGTCCTCACAGGAGAACTGCACATTTGCACCAACTCTAAGCAATTGAAACAAAACAAAACAACCCAAATTATTCTTGGAAACCTTCTTTAAAAAAATCAGCATAGTGCTATGGGTGTATTATGCCACCCAATCAATATCACACTTCAAGCAATCCATTAGAGCACCATTCTTAGATATAACCATGTAATTTAGCAAAAGATGGAGTCTCAAGGCCTGGGTTCAATTTCTGTTGTGCCAGCTTCATAGCTAAATAAATGCATGAACCTTAATTTCTTATCTGTAAAATAGACAACAAAGGTGACCTGACTTCCTGCTGTGGCCTAATTAAGAAAATGTGTAGAGAAACAGTTGCACGCCCTGAAAACAAAACAATGTTGCAGTCATTCCTTGTGAATAAATGTCTACAAAAACAAGGATTGAAAAAGTCCTTGTGCGTGGGTGGCTCCGTTGTTAAGCATCTGCCTTCGGCTCAGATCATGACACCAGGGACCTGGGATCGAGCCCCACATCGGGCTCCCTGCTTCCCTCTCTCTCTCCCACTCCCCCTGCTTGTGTTCCCTCTCTCGCTGTATCTCTCTGTCAAATAAATAAATAAAATCTTTAAAAAAAAGAAAAATAAAAGTCCAGGTTAGGAAAATGTCTCCTTACACAGAAAGACAAGTGCTACAGGGTACCACTTACATGAAGGGCCTAAAATAGTCAAACTCATAAAATCAAGGGCTGGAGGGTAGTTACTATGGGCCTGGGGGGAGAGGAGATGGGGTGTTATTAATCAACTGTCATAAAGTCTTATTTAAGTAAGTTGAATAAGCCCTGCAGATCAGATACACAACACTGAGCCTCTAGTTAACAGAAATGTGGACTTATATTATAATTGGCTAAAAGGATAGACCTCATGAGAAGTGTTTTATCACAATAAAATAAAATAAAATAAAATTTCTTCCAAAGAAGGGCAGGAAGGAGAAAATGTCTCACTAAAAAAAAAAATCTATGTTACTACCACAAACATTATATTCAGAGGCAGGTGATACGATATTTCAGAAATACACCTTACAGGAAAAGAATTATTTGTTTTAGAAAAAAGCAATCCATCCATCCTAAAGTTGGGTGACACATTGTTTTGGCTCCAGAGCTGCATCTGCAAACCTGAACCTGTAAGGTTGTAAGAGTAACAAAATGTTGTTGTAGGATAACTATTCAACAGGTACATAACAAAATGTGCCAGGCACCCACTGGTCTGAATACATGCTATTCCTTCCTCTAAACTTTGGCATGAAGCTGAGTGTAGTAGTATTTTGGTATCGACAAGCCTATTACTTCAAGAGGAAATTCTACATATTTTCTTTCTTTTTTTATTAACACATAATGTATTATTTGTTTCAGGGGTACAGGTCTGTGATTCATCAGTCTTACACAATTCACAGCGCTCACCATAGCACATAGCCTCCCCAGTGTCTATCACCCAGCTACCCCATCCCTCCCACCCCACCCCCTCCACTCCAGCAACCCTCAGTTTGTTTCCTGAGATTAAGAGTCTCTTATGGTTTGTCTCCCTCTCTGGTTTCATTTTGTTTCATTTTTTCCTCCCTTCCCCTATGATCCTCTGCCTTGTTTCTCAAATTCCACATATCAGTGAGATCATATTTGAAAGACCCTCAAGTTGATGTTAACAAAAATGGGAATGCAAGGGAGTCTTTGTGGGAAAAGATGCACAGTGGCCCATGTGCATGGATACAGTTAATAACAGATGCAAGAGTGAGGGAAAATAAACTAATGCATTCCCTTCCTGCTTGTCGAAATCATCTCATCTATGATCTCAGAGTGAATATTACTCAAGTGATATTATGTCAGAATTTCCCACACTTCTAAATAACACTCTGGGGATGGTCAAAGATGTCTGCAAAAATCATCACATCAGGGTCAGACCAACATGAAAAATTCTGGATTCAACAAAATTTAGCATCTTTCCTCAGTGTACTGAAATTAAATACACAAAAATGCATTTTGCTTACCTAAGAGAATGTAAAGTATGTAAAAATTTCCAAACTTATATATCCAGGAAGCCCCTTTTCACCAACAATCCAGAGCAACTAGAACTCTATGGAACAAATTTTGAGAAACACTGTATTGTTGGTACATAACGTGTCTTATCTTTAAAAGTGAAAAGTGTAAAAACCAAATTCTAGACCTAATTCTCATTTTCACTGTGAGTCCTACCAGTTATTTAAAGCAGCCATACATGTTAGATGCATCTGTCCATAATTTCTGCTCATTGGCTTTTGTTTAAACCTCTGGAGCCACACTGAATAAATGAAATAAATCCAAAAATTTTGCTCTGAAAGCAACTATTATTTCTCTGTGTTCAGCCCTATCTTCACTTCCTTCTATTTACCAAAATCTCAGTTTTCACATATTTTATCACTTTTAATACATTTTTATTGAACATCTACCATATGCTACTTCACTCTAGGTATCAAAAATGCAAATGTTAATAAATAGTTAAAATTTAAGGTCCCAACCTAATCCAAGTTGATTTTCTGGAAAGAACTCTTAGAAGAAAATTCCAGAAAAAAAGTTAATACCTCCCCATTAACAGGTAAATTTAGAACACCTTAGATTAATTATGTTGAACAACTTTGACAATTGCTAGTAGTTAGAAAGTGTAAGAAATAACAGAGAACTGAAGTTATGTAAGATCAAGATATATTATACATAGATAATAAATACCTAAGTGGCAAAATTTAAGTTATACAGTTAAAGTAGCATATTTTGTGTTTTAAATAGAAGAGGGAAAATAAATGTTTCAGTTCTTTAATGCTTAGCTCTTCTGAAAAGCTCATCACTCAAGTTTCTGAATTCCAAAGACATTTCATTTGTCACCATCTACTTGACTTTACCGACCATGATTTGAAGAGTCTTTTGAGGTGAATGAACTATTTCTAAATATGGCTCAGTTTTAACACGAACTATTTCTAAATTTGCTTTTCCTAAATAATGGCTGTGCCTTTATTTAATATTGGTATCATAATTATTTCCGATGATAAAAAAACTGAAAAACAGCAACTGAATTGACTTAAAGTTTAAAGCAGAATCCAAAATAAGATATGTGATATCTAACTGTCCATGAATTACCAGAGATATAAACTATCCAGATAGAGAGATCCCACATCTTTCCTCAACCCATACTGGTTGACTTCTATCGAACCTACTGAAGTAACCACTTCCTCCATTTAAAGTTTTCTAAATCAATAGACAGATCAATAGATGGAGATAGATGATAGATAGATAGATGATAGATAGATAGATGATAGATAGATAGATAGATAGAT